TGGGAGGGATGGACACCCCTGGTCATATGTAATTATTATTAATGTCATTTGTTGATTGTAATTGCTTAATGTAAAAAAACAATATTATATCTGCTATCTCTTAAACCAACACTCATATAATATCTCATATAGAGAGAACTACAATAATAATATTACACGGCTGCTCAACTATGTTGTGTTGCTAAACCACACAGCATTCTCATCAATCAACCGGTAATACTGAAAAAGATTAAGAGAGAGTTAGGTCAGACCATTGGTTCACAGAATCAAATAAATGAAGGCCAAGATCAATATATGAGGTGATAGAGGATTCCTAACGAGTATAAAATAATAGTTTCTGCCATGTTCTGCATCTGCTCCTTCGCAACACCGAGCATCTGCAAGAAATTACTTGTTATGAAAGGGATGCTTCCACTACTTCCGAACCATAGCCCTTTAACTGAGAATTCTCTCTCGTCAAATTTATCTCTATAATTTTTGTTATAAGGTATGCTTTTCGTATAAATTTTCTCTTCCGCTTGTACCTTGAAGTCCTGATTCTGGTCATTGGTATCAAATCTGATCGTGGGATCCACTATTGTGACTCCCTTTCCTTGGCATTGAACGCCAAAATTTCAACGTACCTTGTCGAGCCTTCTGTATAAATGCAATAAATTTCGAGGAAATATTTATAGTTCTTCATTTGAAGGAGCTCGGCTATACAATGCTTTATATTATTGTGCCGGCGGATGACGGAAGCATGTTATGCGGACAATTTTCCAACACATGAGCTGGGGTTATTATGGGGAGGAGGACACATGGGGTGCCCTATCGGGCACATTTGCGGCAGTGGGGTTATTATTAATTATATAAGTAAGAGGGGCAATCATTTTTTTTGGGGGAAAGGTCATGTGCCATCGGCCTTGGGGAGAATGGGCATCCCTGCTTTCCAGGGTGGGATTGTCAGGATTTATTTCCCGAGGCCGCTGAGAAATAGATATTAACCAACCCTGGTGGGAATTGAACCCACAACGTTCAGAACCAGGCATCCTGAGTTAGAAGCCCACACGTGTTCCTACTATGGTCAGATTTTTAAAATACAAATTTACAATAGTAACGCCAACACAGCAAGCTTATTTATGAAATAAAAATCGCACCACTCATGAAGACAATATCAGTTAAAATGATCGGTACTCCAATATCTGTTCTATAGATACCTCGCAGAGCCTTAATGTATTCAGAAGACTACAGAGTAAGGTATTTAGCTCTTGTATCATTTTTATGCAAATCAGGTTTCTAGGATAGTTTGATTAATGCTGATTTTGACTTGGTGGTCAATTTATATAGATAAATCTATGGAAAATATAGCTAAAAAATAACAATATATAAAGTATTTTAAAAAGTACATTGCAGTTCATCTTTAAAAGGAGGGTTAATTTATAGAATTTTGAAGAATTATCCGACATCAATCTCTTTAAAATATTTATTTTACTCTCTATTTTGGCCATGTTGTTCGTTATAGATTCATCGAAGAAAAGTTGGCATAATAATTAATGATGGAACAATTACCATGATAAGCCTCAACAAAGTGAGGGGAAAATTATTGGCTTATGTATTTACTTGCTATATATGACCTATACAACCTCGTATATTTATGAAGGCCACCTTTATACTCGCTTTTGTGATCAAATTATCTTACGATTTAAATGTAAATAAAATGGGTGTTCATGAGTTTTTAGTATCTAATTAATAAGACAAAGTTTGCTAATCTACAGATTGAAAACGCCCCAATTCCGAGAATATCCGTAAACAGAAAAGTCGTAGGTTACGATGAGACGAAGCTATTCACTAAGCTTTAGGTGGATGTTAATAGTTTGATAAAACGAGGTCTGTACAACTGAGTAAGATTATTAGAGCTGTTTGCTAAGCTCAATTCTAAAATGTAATAAGATACAAATTGCCCCAAGTGCTAATTTACTGGTTTTTATTTTATTATCACATTTGCATGTAGCAAAGTGAACAGCAGTAATCTACGAAAAAAGTTGGAAATGCTCGTTTAAGCAGCCAAAGATCTATAAGGCACCCCAAGTATAATTAACGTATCATCATTGTATTATTCACGTTAATAATACGTATATCATATGATAATACGTATTGATCATTGTATCAAACGTATGATATACGTATCAATATTACTAAGGTAAAAGGTTAATCAAATATTAAATAACTTTAACAATCCACAACAAAATACACAATGAGATCTGAAATCTTTTTTTTTTTTTTTTTTTTGCCCTCCTGTAAGAATTTCGTAACGATTGCTTCTGATCTAATAAATTGTTAAATATTGCAATTATTTATAAATACGTATAACTTATTTATAATATAACATATAATAATCACAAATGCTATTCCGTAACTTATGAAAATAATTAGAAACCATCGTTTTATATAATGTCGTGTAATTATTTTAGAAGTTTTGAAAGCATAAGTAAGACTGATTAATTAATTAATCATTAATTTGTTCAGTGACTTGTTTTTCACTGAACAAATTAATGCTACATTAATAATGAATATCTAATGGAGGACTCATTAAGACTTGAAAATGGCCCTTAGCGTGGTCGAAACGTCGTAATAAATAGCTAAAAAATAAAATGTTGGTGAATAATGGCCTAATTTATGTAAAAAATAGAACCTCAAGACACCAATTTTAAGAATAATGAACAGAAGGAATTAAGTTATTTGAGCTTAATAATAAGATACGAAAGATAACAGTCACTAGATAATAAAGACGTTCCATGTTTTTTTTAAATTAAAATTTATAACTTAAAAGTTTCTTTTAACGGCTAATAAAAACTTTTGTATGAATTACACACATTATTAAAATAAATTTGGACTTGGGATACATTTTCACCTTAGATAATGATATTTTTTCATTGATTTCTGACCGACGATTTATTTTATTCGGTAATTGGAATTTCTGATCTGTTATGCTCGATTTAGGATTGAGTTTTAAATCTGTTGATTCAAGTTTTGTACTATCCATAAATGGTTGCCTAAATAGAACGGTCTTAGGTGGAGAAAATAATGATTTTTTTTTTTTTATTAAAGGGAAGTATATATAGATCATTTTATATCTAGTGAAAGAATATTTTGCTGAGATATGTTCCTTGTGCCCCACCCAGCATACTCAGAAGTGAGTCACGACCTAGTTTCTATTTAGAACTACATCCATTTTCTCAGCTTATACATCTCCCGTTACCTCGATTTAACTCTTGTATTTATTTATCCGGCGATACGAAATACTCTCCTCAAAAAAGCGATTTATTATTTCAACTGGGAGCGTCCGTATATTCTCAAAATAGTAACAGTTTGTTAGTACCAGGGATCACTTCTTACAAAAAAATCTCAGACATTTATTTTATAAGGAATCATAGAAATTTATCAAGAATAAAAATACAAGATATAAAACATTCTTTCTTAAGTATTTTATATTATAGCAGAGGTTTATTTTTAAAAATAAGAAATAAAGATTTGCTTCCAAATTTTGAAAACCCATTGGCCTCATGATAATGGTTAGTAGACCACCTCAGTCCAGATAAACAGAGGTGTGCAAGATAAGACCATAAAAAAACAGTGGAGAATCCATTGCCGCAATCTAAGAACATTAACGGTTATATTCGGTCCTCATGAAGATAATTGCAGAAAGGGATATTTCAAGAAATCAAGAATAATTAGTCATGTTAAGGTATATAAAAACCGAGAAAAAAAAAAGATATCCAGCATTGATAAATAAAGTTAAGGTTTTGATTTTTTTCTGAACACAATTCTAAAATTTACGCATCCAACCAAAGAACCCAATCGGTATTAAAAAAAATCCATAATATTTGACAGATAGTTTAGTAAGATTAAAATATTGAAACCAGTCGTACGAAATTAGATAGCAAAGAAGATTATATTATTTTTTTTGGGAGAAACAAAGTTGATGTTCGTTTGTCGCACCTAAAGTAAACTTCGATTATGAATTTTCATAGTAATATAACATTTTTTCTTCATTAATGCCCTTATTAACCCTTTGCTCAAGGTTTGTTTCAGTATCTGACTAAGCTCTCCCTAGAGGAGACTAAAATATGATTTTCAAGGTAATATATTCAATATTGAAACTAGTTAAATACATACAATAATAGTAATATTTAAATAAATAATAAAGTTAAAATTATTGCATTTTAGGAATATGACAATAAAAAAAATAATATAATATGACAAAATCTTATTGAGAATAAGATGATATAGAATACTGGTAAGATTGACAAAAAAATATAATTGTTGTTGTTTTAAAGTTATATAAATAAATGTTGTATTGGTTGTATAAAACTGTTAATAGCGATAATATTGTAAATTCTAGTATGAAGATGGGATATAAAAGTGGATCCCGAAACGTCTTGAAGTAGTCGAGTGGAAACGAATTTGGGAGAATAAATACTGTAAAAAATATTCTTATTTATATAACTGTTTTTTTTATTTGCTCAAAAACGTAGCCTTTGGTTTGTATCTTCGACTTCTTTTTAAATCGCAAAAACTATTATAAAAATTATGACTTGGCAAAACTATAACTTTAGCATGGCTCCACTGATCCACACAATAATAGACAAATGTTTGATAATTTTTCTTTCTTATCTTCTTATGAAGTTTTATTGTTATTTTAAATAAAGTCAAAAAGTTATTAGTATGTGCTGGAAGAGCAGAGATTATGCTTTCCAGTGGGAATATTAAAAAAAAGCATTTAGTAAATTCGCACATAAGCATAATGACATGAAACACATGTTGAGAAACTACCCATTGGTAGCACTCTAATAATATGTCTATATTAGGCGATCACGTGGCCATCTTTTTTTCAGACGCCTCGGAGGGTTATCAGGAATTGAACAGAAAGCAAGTGGAATATTGTTAAAGGATACTGTAGGAGAAGATGTAGTAACGAAAATAATTAAAACTAACGTGAGACGTTTGATTTTGTTTGACAGATCGCCGGAAAGAGGGATCCGGAACAGGAGCGTGAAGCACAGGCCTGGATCGAGGAGATCCTCGGCGAGAAGTTCCCTGCCCATGTCAGCTACGAGGATCACATCAAGGATGGTCAGGTCTTGTGCCGCCTCATGAACAAGCTCACTCCCGGCTGCATCCCCAAGATCAATTCCTCCGGTGGACAGTTCAAGATGATGGAAAATATCAACAAGTAAGTTTCAATAACAATTGATATTAGCTTTTATGAATCTTCTTCCTACTTCCGACTTTGATATGTTCTGATAATAATATGGACAGTCAAAAAATTTTTATAAGTAATGACAAGAACTTCATATAACTTGTCACCATGTTGCCAATCAGCTCAGCATCCAACGTCGGAGATTGAACTGATTGGATTATTATTGGGAGATTACAAGACTAAGAGTTTTCTGACCTCGAGTTTCAAACAGTTATGACCAAAAAAATGATAAATAAAAAGATAATAAAGTAAGTTTTAGTAAATAAAAATTGTTTATTACTTAGCTTACCAGCCTTTCATCTCTGAAGAGATAAATCAAGAAAACATAAGGTCCTTACCCATTATTTGGCCATGATTAAATATTTATTCTACCATGCTAGCTCAGGTGAGACGGGGTTAGGTTGGATATTTTTATAAAGCAGCAAAAAAAGGATAAGAGATCTATTTACAGAAAGAAATATTTACAGAATTAATACGATATGCAATAAAATATAAGGGAAAAGAGTGAATTTAAACATAATTACTATATACAATTAAAGATAAATAGGAAGATATTTAAGATAATAAAAATAACAAAAAAAAGATACTTATTTTATATACAATATTATGGCATGCCACATCCAAACATCTAGAAAAGATAGTCAAGATACAATAAGGGGTAAGAGCACATGCAAATGCTAAAATAGGAATTAATAATCAAGCACAGGAAACAAAAGAGAGCAGAGTTATATTTGTTTTTTTTACAATGCTTCCTTAATCTTGGTTACACAGTAACTAATTAACTACAAATAAATGAAATGGGATTTAATTAAAATAGTTAATATAGTTGTAGCTAATTAGCTACAAAGGTTATATTCAATGGTTTCCTAATCAATCTGCCATCAGTACTTAACATCACAGAGACAGTTCATCTTACTTCAACAGCCTTACTGCACGGCTTACCAGCCATAATACCAGAACTGTTAAGAAGTTCGACATACCCTTTAAATTCGGATCCTGTTTATTTGTAAATTCCGCTAATCTGAAATAAACTACTGGTCCCTCGGAAAAAATCGCTGTTATTTGTAGAAATACAGTGTATTTTGGTCCCCTCCGTACCCGGGGTCAATTTAAGGTCTTAAAATCCCGTTTTATTCGAGAGAAAAAAAAACACCCATTTTTTAATTCCCTCTTGATACAGGTTTGTTTGTTTAAATTTGCTTATGTTTAAATTGGATTGTACATCCTGTATATTTATTCAGTTCAGTGTGGATTCATCATGAGTACAAAACGAATGTTTAAGTGACTTTTCGTTTGCCAAAAAAAGAAACAAATTATAAATGCAATTGCCGTAGGAAAAAAAATGTTGATGTTTCGAAAATTTAAATTGTTCTTCTTTTTTTTAATAACAATCATCAATTCATAATCCCGCTCATTCGAAAATCCCCACAATTCGTAATAAACCTTTGGTTCCTTACGAATTATGGGCATTGTACTGTACGATACATACATTATCAAACACATAGTATAATTGCATACAGATTTTTTAAACGAAGAAAGCACAATAGCTTTTCTTAGCTAGGGATTCAAGGGAAACTCAAACGCTATTTCAATTTATGTCAATACATTGAAAAAACAAAATATATTATTTTAGAGACAACAAATCAACATATATTTCAACATATTTATATTACTAATCGATAATAAGTGTTTAAGAATGATATGCCATAGAAAGTTGATTTGTAAAAGAGATTCTTCTCATTCTGAATAATTTTAATGAGCCCGTAAAGGCCGAAATAAATGATCACGTTTGAGTGAGAGAATCAGAACGTCTGTTTCGGATTTGATTCCAATCCAAGGCTAGTTAATAATATATTATTTAAAGCATTTTTAACAGCCAGCAGGGGTAGCTGTAATCACCGATATGCCTACTTGCCAGTCTACTTCATCCCCCTCCCATGACAATAACATTACTACTACTGATAAATAAATCATCATTTTTTTCGAAAATAAAAATAATGGCTTTGGTTTTCTATACAGTAGTGTTCCTGAGGATTGCACTAATGTTTAAATAATTCAAAAGTTAGACTGTCAACAAATATATATAGGCGAAACATAAAAAAAAAAAAAATTAAAAACCAAAATATTAACATAACAGTCCTAGAAAACCACAGTATTAAATCACTACATTTGACTATAAAAACCCACACATATTAGAAATAGAACCAAAATCAAACAATAGGAAACTGCTGGAAGCCATAAATATAAAAAAAAAAAAAAAAAAAATAGAACAGTAAACTATAAAACAGATACAAAACACTTGGGTACACACTATTCGGACATAATATCCAATATTGAAATTAAAAAAAAAAAAACAATAGACAAAAAAAAAAAAACAAGCAGCCATAATAAGAAATAAGAGGACAAGTACAAAGTTCAGTAATGATATTGAAGATAGCCAGATGTAGGTTAGTGTAACAATGAATAAAAAAAGGATGTGTAACATCAAATAAATATATAATGAACGTGACAAATATTTAAATTTTTGACTAATGGTGCGACATCAAAAAAGCAAGGTAAATAAGTGTAAAATAGGTGAAGTAGATTGGTACTGTTTGTTTGTTTGTTTCGATGTCTAGCCGCAAAAGCGTCCAGGTCATCAGCGCCCGATTAACTAAAGAATACTTCTTTTATATTGTTTGGATGGTTAGTCCAAAAAATAAGAATAAAAAAAAATGATAAAAATAATTAAATAAAAGGATTAATAGAATAAAATAAATAAATAAAAATAACAATAGACAATTATTGATAATAAGATAAAATACATAAATAAATAAACTTAAAAAGAAAAAAAATATCAATAAATTAATAAATGAGTTGAAATTAATAACCAAATGAACTTTTAAAATAAAATGAAATAAAGTAAATAAATAAAAAAGAATAATAAATAAAAAAGAATAATAAATAAAAAAAATAAAATAAAAAAGAATAATAAATCTGCAAAGGATCTTAATTTATAAACTTGTCATAAATGTTGTTTAAGTCTTTCATTATCTAGGAACTTGAGAACTTTGGTAACGATTTCTTCTTGATTTCCCAGGGATGCTGATATATTCTGGGGTATTCCGAGATCTTATAAACTTGCGGTGTAAAAAGGGCACTCTTCCAAAACATGCTTTATAGTAAATGTCTGTTGACATTTTTGACATAGATTGGTACTGTAAATATAGTATATTTAAAAATGTGCATAGTTTCAGTGAGTATAATGATTGCTCTGATGATGGGGAAAATGTCCCGAAACGTTAGAGGTGATAAATGTGAATAAAGGAAATTGGAAGTTTTTTTGCCTTAATTATGAATAAATATATAAACGTAGGTTTCCTAAAAAAAGAAAAATAAGAAGATAATTAAATAATTCTTGTCTTTAAACTATAATATATATTATCGGCATTAATTTAATTTTTCTACCCACAGCTTTTTGAAGGCTATGACAGAGTACGGTGTCCCAGACGTTGACCTCTTCCAGACCGTCGACCTCTACGAAAAGAAGGACATCGGCCAGGTGACGACAGCCTTGTTCGGACTCGGAAGGGCGACCTACCGCCACACCGAATGGCCTGGCCCATACCTAGGACCCAAGCCAGCTGATGAGTGCAAGAGGGACTTCACCGAAGAGCAGCTGAAGGCTGGTCAGACCATCATCGGCCTCCAGGCAGGATCCAACAAGGGAGCCACCCAGGCTGGCCAGAATATCGGCGCCTCTCGCAAAATCCTCATCGGAAAGTAAATCCGAAACCACCACCAGACTGAACAAACTACATAGAATTGATACAAAATGATTCATATATTTTTGACACTGTAATATTGATAAATAAATGATATATTCTTTTTGATTACATGGTTGATTCGAAATCCCATTAAACATTTCTAATTTTGAACGAAAATCGTTAGCGAATATATGCCACACACATAGTATAACTCACAAGGTAACCTCGATACAATCAACCCATTTCTATTTCCTACCACCTTACACGAAACCATAAAACAAAAAAAAAAAAGGTAAATTTACGCTTTTTGTTACAACAGTTAACGTAGCTTAAACTAATATTAATTACCTATAATTATAATATAATGGAAAAACACATATTTATTTTATTTTAATTCAGAGTCTTCTTCAGATCAGCTCGCCGGTTATTTTTTAATAGTAATATGTTATTTTATGTGATTAAAAAAAAACGTATGATATTGAAAGCTTTAATTCCGCTTTGAAAAGCACGGCTCATCAATCTCAACAGTTGTTACAGGCCATTTAATTTTCAGTACGTTGCTTGCACAAACCTCCCGCAAATAATTCTTCCAATCCGTTAAAGTATGTTCTGCCATACCTAATTATTTAGCATATTACTTTGTAATAGAGTATACCTCATACCAGGAATAAATAAATAATATCGAAGTGGTTAAACGTATTATTGTATGATCTAACCATAATATTGGAGACTACTCCCTTCTCATTCTACTCGAACGTGCACATTTCCACCTTATTATTTTTTTTTCGGCCCTCCCTTTCTCGCATTTAAGGTTATACGGGGTTTTCTTGGGCAAGGGAGTGTGGGCGGGGATTTAAAAGACACCCCCCTCCCTGCACCAGAACGCGAACTCGTGACTATTTTTTATCAGTTCGTCTCATATATCAGGTTGCCAGGAAACGACGGTACTGTGAACATGCGTTAGTCCGCATTAGTTCACCCCGCCAACAAACCGGAATATAACACTTCCACCTATCATGAGTACCATTTCTTTCATTTCATTAACTTCATTAGGTGTCACTCATTACAGAAGCACTCCTTATGGATTATTCCAGCTTTCTGATAAAACTTAAATGCTTCATTCTCGTCGTTATTCAAAATGTTGTATAAAGTAAAGGAGTTATTTTTACTGACTAAATGAATCTTTTAACAAATGCAGGGGTGCCCAGAAGGGAGGTTTCATGTCGCAAGTTGCACCATAAAAATTTTTGAGGGTTTTCGAATTTTGGAGGGGGGAAAATTCCGACGGGGTTATGAATTTTCGGACTAAGGATCAAGGAGACAACATGGAACATACATAGAACATAGCAGTAAGTATAATTGTGTACGATCTACAATTTTTCTAATTCCACGTTAGCTTGCTCTGTTTAGAAGCTAAAATTAGAATTGTTTATTTCATTGTTCACTAGAAGAAAGGTGAGCAATAAAATATCTTGGGAGGAGGAGGGGGTAGGTTCTTACGCCATCTACCGTGGGTAGGATGCCACTCTTGAACAGATGCTTATATCATAGAAGAATAACAACATTGATTCAAATATAACTGATACTTTTCTATAACACTCAATGTTCTTGTTTAAAAATAGCAGGTGTGAATAATCTGCAAAAGGCCCATCATTGAATACATATGAGAGCCAGATTGGCCGAGAGAGTCAATGCGCATGTGCACTAACCAAACTCTATGTACACTAATCAATAAGTGGGTTCAAATTCCGGCCCCTCAATTTGAAAATATAATAACACTATAATAAAAGTGAAAAAAAATAAAAGTGTTAAATCTGGGAATCTTCGTTAAAAATTTTCCAATGAAAGGACCAAAAATAGTCATTGAGCTAGCAAGGTCCGCGCGATGACTAGTGAGTCAAAAATAACTCTTTTTAATGTATCATATCCAAATTGATGTAAGGGTTTCAGGGGAAGTTTGCCAAAATCTCCCCACACTAAAGCTTTGCTATTGTTAGCATCAGGAAATTATTAGAGTAGGCATAATTAGTAATATTAATGTACCTATTTACAATAGTATGTCTGATATTCAAGGAGGGGATAAAATAGCTAAGTTATTTCGGAATCCTGATTAACCGATAGGAGGACGTAACTAGCTTGACTTCTAATTTTTATTTTAGAAAGCCAGTTAGTGCAAATGAAGGCCATAATGACTCAACTCTTTAGTGCTCGCGTCCCTGAGTTCGATTGATTTGGATTATATTCCCTCCTCGGCTAGATAATATATATTTCGTGGTGGTCCTAATAGATGAATCTTAACATTCCCAATCTGATTAACACGGGCGACAAACTCTAAGTAGCCGTCAAGGAAACGATAGGTCTATATCCGGACTAGTTTCCTCCAAAGAAACTCGCACCAGCAGTTTAAAATCAACCGATTTCTTTACCTCTCATTTATACAAAATAATCTAAAATGAAAGAAATAACCGAGAAAAACTAAGAACATTGTGTATTCTATGTTGTGCTAGTCCACATTTCATAATATATTCCAATGTAGATATCGTAGTGAAAAAAGATCCCTTATAACAATACTAATAATAGTTATAATAGTGTTCCAGTTGTTTTAGGAAATAGTCAATAGACTTATCTTTGTAATACTTACTATATAATATTTGGAAAGATCGTTAAGATGCGTCTAGGCATTTCACAAACTATGAGAAATCCAAATATCTAAATGGTTGTTTCCCTATGCTAGTGTTTTTTTTTCTTCTTATTTTTGATATTTTCCATCTGCTGTCGTTAGCAAAAGAAATAAAAACAGTTTGGCTTAGCGCTAATGTCGCTGTTAATGAAGTTAGGTAATTTTGATTCCCAAAGTTGGTGAAATGTCCAAACGCAACTTTACATTACAGGTAGTACCTATTTCTCTTCTACAGTAGAAGACTGCTAATTCATGATCACTCTGATAGATTTTCATGATAATGCATGATAATTTGGAATATTAATTTTCTCCCATAAGCGTACCCAGGAGAGGGACGTGGGGGGCGGCGCCCTCCTCCCTCTGAAAGAAGAGAAGAAAATTTATCTTGAAAAATGTAACTAAACAACCTTCACTTTTATTATAATTATGTTAATTGAAAAATGAATCGTATTAAATAAATAGTTTTTATTAATACTTTGTACTCAAAAAAAAAAAAATTTCCGTCGAAGGATATATTTTAGAAAGAGAAATATATTCTCCGGATTATTTATTTCATCGCGTTTTTCGTAGTTGTTGGCCGTTTAGTTACAAACGACGCTTGATTTTTAACTTTAGTTTTTGCTACTTGAAACATACCGTGCAGTAACTATTTTTGTGAGAACATTTTTTTAAAATAAATAGTTGCAAGGAATACAACAATATGCAGTTAATAGGAATGTAGGAGGAGGAGGTTGCACAGTAGGTGGTCTGGTCGCCTTGAATTTATTGAAGTTTGAAGAATTTTCAATAAAGAAAAAAAAACTAAATAGATTAAAAATAATTTATAAACGAAATACCAGAAACAGTAATGAGAGCAAACAGTTGTGGATTCAGGAATATTCTAAGGGCACACTTCCAAAGCTGATGAATTCTTGCGAACAAAAATTATGTTTATATATATATATATATATATATATATATATATATATATATATATATATATATATATATATATATATATATATATATATATACACATATACAAGGGGCTAGAGTAGCCGTGCCAGTAAATTTATAATTTAATTTAATAAATTTAAACATATGGATATAATGACGTAAAAAAACTACCCACTGGTAGCACTCTAAAAATGTATTTACAACAGGAGATCTCGAGGCCATCATCTTTTGAGATGCCTCGGAGGGTTATCAGGAATCGAAGAGGAAGCAAGGTTAGAAACGAGAGGGTTTGGATGGTTCTGAAGTTTGTTATAGAAGGATAGGTATCTGGATTGGGCCAGCTCAGAAACATAAGGAACATTAAAGTCGTTATCGATGATTTTATTTGTGTCAAAGTAAGGAGCAGTGAGGATTTTACGAAGGATTTTGGATTGTAAGAGTTGGATTCGAGAGGAATTCGATGGAATTCGAGAGGATTGTGGAACCCCAGAGGGCAACTCCATAAGTCCAAATAGGTCTTGTAGTAGTCATGTATATGAATCTAATAGGGATGTAGATGAGTCTTTTGTAATTGACTGGAAGCTTAGAGCGTTTGTCTAGTAAGTGCTGGAGTAGTCGGAAACGTCGAGCGGTTTCTTGTCGTTCAGTCTGGTATGAGGATTCCAAGTTAGAAGTGGAGTCCAATTAGTTAAGTCCAAGGTATCGGATTTGTTCAACAGGGATTAGCAGGATATTATTAAAGGATACTGTAGGCAGCGGCGGATTCAGGAATTTTCTCAGGATGGGGGGCGCATCTCTGTACCAGGTGTTTCCCCCACCACTACCCATCTCCCCCCACTCTTTGGCTGAGTTTAGCTGTTCAAAACAAAAGTCCACTTTAAATGATTTTAACAATAACAAACTCTATTTTTATTGTAAGTAAAATTTGTCTAGTTTACCGAGAAGCAATTGTTAATTACTTAAATTAACAAAAGTTTTTCAGTTATCACTTCCTATTAAAAAAAAAAGTGACACTTTAAAAAACACAAAACTTTAATTTCCTACTTTTCATCTGAAAATCGAACCATTGTTCATATAAACTTTTTTGTAGCTTTTGAGTTCTACTATCACTCCTTTTAAAATTTCCCTTTACTTACGGGACACCCTGTATAAGGGTTAAGACATGTAAAAAAAAACAAAATTGCTTACACGGGTCACCAAGGGAAATCTTTTTACAAAAAAAATTCCAGATTTATCTCGTATTTTTTTTCATCTATTGCTACTAAACAGGGCATCGGAGCAAAAAACGAATTCTTTAAGAACATTTTTTTTTTAGACTTGTATTGAGTATTAATACAGTCTGCCACCCTGAAGGGCATTAAAACAAATTAGAGAATGTTAAATTGTTCGTCGAACGAGTACCTAAACTTTATAATTTGATTAAGTAATATGGCCGATGACCACGGTCAACGAACGCTAATTTTTACCAAATGTGTCAAAACTTGAGACAGATTACAACAATGGCCCTGTAGCTTGGAAACGAGTCCTCTAAGAGAAAAAAAAAATCAGAATTAATTCCGATTTCAATCCCCATCATATTCAGATTTCGATCATATCGGAGACCAAATAATTAGAATCTTTCTTAGTGAAAAGTTCCCAATAGCAGTTATTTTAAGAAAAGAAAAACACTTTCTGATGAGATATATACAAATTATTATCGTGACCAGTTTATGAATTATGGAATGGATTCTTCAAGGATACTATAGTTGCTGGATATTGCAATGCGACCAGATCTATTGAAACTCAGTAAAAACTGAGTCCGAGAGAAAAAAA